TGGGCTAGCTTTCAACCAGAATCCTCAGCACTTAGCCTCCTAAGTAGCTAGGATTATAGACTTGAGCCACCCAACAGTACCTGGAAATTTTCAGTGTCCTTGTTGTACAAATTTTTTTTATCAGTTGTGGAGCTTGAACTCTGGGCCTAGGCATTGTCCTTCAGCTCTTCAGCTCAAGGAGAGCACTTTAAGGCTTGAGCTACAGCACCACTTCCGGTTTCCTAGTGGTTTATTGGAGATAAGAGTCTCAAGGACCTTCTTGCCCAGGCTGGCTTTGAACCATGATCCTCAGATCTCAGCCTCCTGAAAAGCTAAGATTACAGGCGTGAGCCACCGGCGCCTGACTTGTGGTACAATTTTTAATCTGTAGTCTTTCTCTGATGCCGTGGCGGCTCCCTCTGCTGAGAGTGTGATAGCTGATACTTGCAGATTTTCCTGGGTGATGTCTCCTTATTTGTAATGGTTGAAATTAAGGTGACTCTAAGATGTGAGCAGTCACATGATTTCCAGGCTGAACTACTTGTTTCACCAATTGACAATGCATTCCCACCATCTGTCTCAGTGTAGTAATCTCATATCCATAAGACAAAGAGGCTGGGTACACAAGCACAAAGTCCCTTTTTTTTGCTTGCCATAAAAGTTTTATTTTTTTTAAATAAGTTTTTTTATCATAAAAACACTGTACAGGAGGGTTACAGTTACATGAGCAAGGTAATGAGTATTTCCTATCAAGCATTGTTACCTCCTCCTTTGGTTTTCCCCTACCATCCCTTCCCTCCCCACCTCCACAACTACTCCCTCCTCCCCACCGTACTCCTAAATTGTAAAGTTCATTTTTCAACATAGTGTCTTGTACATCCCATTCTTACAGTCTGTCAAACTGTATCTCTATCTAAACATTTTGTTTTTTCCCTTCCCCTCCCCAAATTAGACCGACATCAAATACAGTGAAAACAGGTTATAACGTGGGGAAGGAACATACAAAACAAAACAAAAAAAATCACATGGTACATTATAAATACGTTAGAAACAATAGCAAGAAAGAAAAAAACATTGTGTCTCTATCTTGGGGTTCATTTCACTTAACATCATCTTATCTGGTCATATGTACATTGCTTTTGACCTTTTCTACTTGTCCTAGACAGATACTAGTTATTGCAAATAAAGGAAACCGTGCGACCTATGTTTCTTTGGGCCTGGCTTACTTCACTTAATATAATTTTTTCCAAGTCTTTACATTTCCTAACAAATGGGGCAGTGTCATTCTTTCTGATGGAGGCATAGAATTCCATATATATATATACATATATATATATATATATATATATCACATTTTCTTGATCCATTCATCTACTTAGGGGCATCTGGGTTGGTTCCATATTTTAGCTATGGTAAGTAATGCTGGTAGCTTTAGTATGGTCTTGTTTGTGATCATTTCGGTAAATGCCCTAAAGTGGGATTGCTGGGTCATAAGGGAGCTCTATGTGGAGTCTTTTGAGGAATGTCCATACTGCTTTCCAAAGTGGTTGAACAAGTTTACATTCCCACCAACAATGAAGTAAGGTTCCCTTCTGTCCACATCCCCTCTAGCACCTGTTGTTATTAGAGTTCTTGATTATAGCCATTCTAACTGGTGAGGTTGTTGTTTTGATTTGCATTTCTTTTATGGCTAGAGAATTTGAGCATTTCTTCATGTGTCTATTGGCCATCCTTCTTTCCTCTTCAGAAAAGTTTCTCTTTAAGTCTTTAGCCCACTTATTTATTGGGCAGTTGTTTCTTTGAGGATTTGTTGTTGGGGGATCTAATTCAATGCTATCTACAAATTCAATGTGATATCTATCAATATTCCAACCTCATTCTTCAAGGAAATAGAAGAAGCAATCCAAAAATTCATAGGAACAATAAAAGACCCCGAATAGCAAAAATGATCCTTAACAGAAAGAACAGTGCTGGAGGAATATCAATACCAAATTTCAAACTCTACTAAAAGCCATAGTAATTAAAACAGCTTGGTACTGGTACAAGAACAGATTTGAGGAACCATGGAATGAACTGAAGACCCAGAAATGAACCCACAGACCTATAGCCATCTAATCTTTGATAAGGGAGCTAAAAAATAGAATGGAAGAAAGTCAGCCTCTTCAGTAAAAGGTGTTGGCAAATTGGTTAATCACCTGTAGAAAACTAAAGCTAGATCCTTATATGTCATCCTGCACCAGAATCAACTCCAAATGGATCAGAGACCTTGGAGTCAAAGCAGACACCCTGAAAACATTACAGGATGGAATAGGAGAAACCCTAGGTCTTCTTAGCACAGGCCAAAATTTTCTTAATAGAGACCCGGAAACACAACAAATCAAAGAAAGGTTGGACAAATGGGATTGCATGAAGCTGCAGAGCTTCTGCCTGGCAAAGGGCATAGCTAGCATGATCAGTAGAAAGGAGGAGGCAACAGTGCTTGATAAGAAATGTAATTGTGACCCCTCTATATGGTATTTTCACAATAATAATAATAAAAAAAGAAAGCCCACAGATTGGGAGAAGATCTTCACTAGCCATACAATGGATAAGGGTCTCATATCTAAAATATACTTGGAATGAAGTCCCTTTTGCTGGTTCCTGCTGAAGATTTATATCTCTGCTTATGGATTTGGAATATTAGACCCATAGGAAATCAATGATACACCATTTTGGATGACAAATTTGCTTATTTTTCAAATAGGGATGCCCGTGTGACTTTAGATGATTTTATAGAGAATATAAAATTATTTCAGTCTTTGAGAGCAGGGATTTTTCTCTTATCGCTTCAGTTATTTATGTACAATATATCAGATGGCATTCTAACATAAAACTTACTTGTCTTACCAGGTGTTTTATGAATTAATAAAATAAAAACACAGCGCTAATCTAACCAGTTTATTAATTGATTCTCCATAAATGCCAGGTAACTTCCACAATCTCTCTCTTTTGTACGAGAATCTGTGAAGAGGTAAAGAATCACACTCAGATCTTTTGATTCTATTGCCCTAGATATTATAAAATTTTGTTTCTTACAGAATAATGTTTTGAGTATCTCTCTGAATCCATTCCCAGTTCTAAGAGAAAGTTATATATATATATATATATATATATTTCTTTAAGTACTTATGTATTTTCATTTTAATATTTAAATATGTGATTCATTTGAAATTTTAGGAAAATTGATCAAATTTCATTGTTGTTTACATGGTTGTTTTTATTCAACCTGTTTATTTAAAAGGCTAGCTTTTTTTCATCCATTTGAGATGTTTTTGGTCTATTTGGTCAGCTTATGTAATGGTATGAGCTAGGTGATAATATTTTTAAACAATGGTTAAGGATCTTTCTTGAGGTTACATGGCTGGTCAGTGGGAGTTAAAACTAGTTCTCTCTGGCTCTGGAACAGTGTTTCATCATAGACCTGTATTTCTTGCTATGTTGATCCTCATCTTACCCTGTGCAGCAAGTGATGGCAACTATCATCATTCTATTACTACACATAAGGTAGCAGAGGCTCTAGTAAGTCCTTTGCCTTCCCAGGAAATCTAGATTATGAGTAAAATACCTAGAACCCATATGAAGCTTCTGGTATCAAGAGTTGGGTTTTGGTGGGTAGGTCATTGCAAATGGGGCCATGAAGCATTGAATAAGGGCAGAGTAGGTAAGTAAAGGCAAAGTTAGCAGGAGTATTTATTTACAGGTAGAATATGCTCATTTTTCCCTCCCCATGGGAATTATTTTACTACAAGTAATTCTGTTATAACATACTAAAATTTGGTTAGATAAAGGATTAAGGACTTATTTCAGACATTACCTCTAGTGAGTGAGGAGGATTATTTTCATTCAGGGACTCAGCCTTATGAAGCCTCTGTCATGTTTCTAACAGCTTTATTGAAGTACGGAACACAATTTACCCATTTAAAGTGTATTTAGTATACTGCATTATTATGTTCTAATTACAGTAAATATGTAACATAAAATGTGCTGCTTAACTAAGTATACACTTCAGTGGCATTAATCACAAACATAATGTTGCACCATCATTAGCACTGTCTAGTTGTAAGACTTTTTCATAATCCTAAGCAGAAATTATGTATTCATTAAGTAATAACTTGAGAAAAAGCTATGGCTTGTAGCATAGCAGGTAGGAGCCTTGTTCCTATTGAAGCTAGTCTATCAGAACAGAAACAAATTTTGAAGACTATCTATTCCAATCTCTCATTTCTTTGATGCCCAGAAAGCATGAGCATGAAAAACTTCCCAGAGTAACACTGTGTTGATGACAGATCTTAGGCAAGTCTAAGCCCAATCATTTCTCTCTGCTCTATACCGTATTTCAAACATTTCTTACCACAGCCTAGAAATAATTTTTCTTTATGATCCAAACCATATTTACATACATTATATTTGTAAAAGTTTTCTAAAACAAAGGTGGATAATAATTACAGCTACTTGTCAGCTGTTTGCACCTCCTCATTTTCTGTAACACTGTAAAACTACACTCTCTCACATCCTTTGTAGTAGTAAAAATCAGTAGGTATTTGTGGCTAAGGATATATAATTTAAGTGAAACCGATTATTTTTTGGGAAACTTTAAAGTACCAGTATACAGTTCACAACATTCTTTTTATTTATTTAGTTTTTACTGGTGCCCCAATCATGGCAGAAGGAGTATGAAGCCCATTACCTTGGTGTCCTACTGAGGATAATGTAGCCCTCAGAAAATCCTTGGTGGACAATTAGTGTGAGTGAGAAATAAGTTTTTGTTTTTTTTAAATCACTGAAATTTGAGACCATCTATCCTGACTGATATATTCTATTTTGTTCCATTTCAATTTGCATTGTTGATGGCAACTCAGTTAATTGATTTTAGAGCCTGAGGATTGAAGGACAACTTCCAGTTTGAAAACTACTACTCTATTTTAGAGGTGAGCATCTCTCCAACCTCCTACAGAGAAAAGTTAACTCTCTTGTCTTTGCAGGACTGTGGTTATGGAGAAGGTAGAGATGCATATTGTGTAGACTGCCCTCCTCAAAAGTTCAAAAGCAGCTCAGGCCACCACAGATGCCAGACTTGCATCAACTGTGCTGTCATCAATCGGGTCCAGAAGACCAACTGCACAGCCACCTCTAATGCTATCTGTGGAGAATGTCTGCCAAGGTGAGTCTGCTAAATTGGTCTAAACAGCTCTGTGCCTTTTGTTTTAGCCCTTTGATGTTTATAATCCTTACCTCACAGAATCTAGTCAAAGTATTCTAACTATCCATGTCATATTCCATTTAAGCTCCCAGAAGGTAGAAACAATGTCTTCCCAAGATCCCTCTATAAAGTGTCCAGCACATTGTCCTCCACAGATGAGCACTTAACAGCTTTTTCATCATGCTGGCACTCTTAGCCCAGGCCCAAGATTTAAGGTAAATCTCACTGGAAACTTAACAAGAAATTATGAAGCAGTTGGTACCATAGTCATGCTCCTCTGTCTCATTGCATTAGCTTCCATTTTGGCTATCATGTGTGGTGAATGGGGGAAGAGGTGGAGTGACGGGCCCCCTGAATCAGAATCACACATGGAGACTGAAAGCTTATGAGGGGTAGGCACTGGCTTCCCAAAGGGCAAAACTCTACAAAGCTACCTGTGGTTCCAGAAAGTACCACTTGGCCCTATGTGCATTGTTTGTTCCATCACTCTGATATCACTTACTACTCTGATCATAGGTTCTATCGAAAGACACGCATTGGAGGCCTGCAAGACCAAGAGTGCATCCCATGCACGAAGCAGACCCCCACTTCTGAGGTTCAGTGTGTGTATCCATAATTTTTAAACTTCTATTTTATTACCTTTATGTAGTTGTACAAAGGGGTTTTGATTCAACAATGCATTTTGATCAATGTCACCCCTTTCATCTTTCTCCCCCACCTCTACCAAATCCACTCATCCCCTCAGTTTTTCTAGTTCCATGATCACATATAATGTGTCTACTTGTTCTCTTTTCTTTTCTCCCCAACCTATTGGGTGGCAGCAAAATCAGGTAATATTTCTCTTTCACTTGGCATTGGTGGCTCATGCCTACAATCTTGGCTACTCAGGAAGCTAAGACCTGAAGATCACAATTTGACACCAGCCCATGCAGGAAAGTACATGAGACTCTTATGTCCAATAAACTACTCAGAAAAATCAGGAAGTGGTGGTATGGCTCAAGAGGTAGAGGGCTTGCCTTGACCCAAAGAAGCTCAGAAACAGTGTCCCAGCCCTGAGTTCAAGTCCCTGGATCAGCACAAGAAAAGGTCTCTTTTCTTGTAGGAATTAACTAGTCACTAGTAGCTCTTTGAATGGAGTACTGTGGCAAGTGAATCCATTAGGTCTGAATTCTAATTTTACCACATAGTATCTGTGTAATCTTTAACAAATGATTCAAACTCATTGAAACTCATTTACCTCATGTGAAAAGCTGTGACTCATGATGTCTTCATACCTTATGGGATTGCTGTCTAGGTCTAATTAAATAATGGATGTTGAAAAGCACTGTATAACATTTATACAGACAAAGGAGGAGGCTACAATGCTTGATAAGAAATGTACTCATTATCTTGCCCATGTAATTGTAACCCCTCTGTACAGTATTTTCACAATAAAAATTTATACAGTTATGAACTATTATTACTATTATTAACACTATGCAAGGTATGTAGGATTCCTTAGATCTTTGGACTCATGAGAAGCTGAATAAGAATTAACGGATCTATGACTATAAGTCTCTGTTTATGTAACTACCCATTTATCTGTGTTTTCTTGTCTTTCTATCATTTTTGTCTGTCTACCATCTATCTGTTCACTTATTCTTTATTGACATTTTCATAAAAATAATGAAATATGTAAAACCTTGAAATAATTAAAATGCATAAAAGTAGAAAAGTTAAACATGCTCAGTTGCCTCAGATCCCTAGATAATAAATTAACATTTCACATATTTTCCTTCATATTTTTTAAAATAAGGACCAAAGATTCCACAATTATGACAAATTCCCTTTTATATTCTAAATCTCCTCAGATACAAGTACTGTCCTGAAATACATGCCTTAGTTCCCTCACCCCACCTCACTCACAGCTGGTTAATTGAAGATTTAAAAAAATTCAATTTTGTCTGCCTTCACTGGCTTTGAACTATGATTTTTATACCTAGCTTCCTGAAATGTGAAGATTTCCAAAAGTACCTGGCTACCAACAAACTGTTTCTTAATACAGAAAGGTTTATGTTCACTATGTAAAGGACTTGTTCACTGTATAACTTTGCCTTTTCAAGAATTCAGATTCCACGTCATTGGCACAGGGGGAGAGATAAATGAGATATACTGGCTCTTAAGTGCTCCAATTTAGAAGTAACATACATTTCTTTCTACTCACAGCCCATTGGCCAGAAGTAGTCTTATGGACTTACTTCATGGATACAGGAGAGAATGGGAAAAATTAATGAGTCTATATTTCTGCCCATTTCTCCACTAGTGTTTTAATATTTGTACTCTTTCTCTGTGTGTGTACATGTGTGCACTGGTGCCTAAACTCAATCTTACTCTCTCACTTGCCTTTTTAACTCAAGACTTACACTCTACCACTTGAGCCACAACTCCACTACCTTTCTGCTAATTAATTAGAGATACAAATCTTAAGATTCTCACTGAGTTTTCTGCTTACGCTGGCTATAAAATGTGATGCTCAGATCTCAGCTCCTGAGTATTTAAGATTACAGGTGTGAGCCACTGGCACTGTATGTAGTATTTGTATTCTTTTTGCCATATATATTCATATATATAGTAACAATATAGCAGTATATGCTATTTTATAATGTTATAGATCAATGACATTAAGTTATATACTCTGTCCAGTTTTTCCCTCTGGATTGTTTATATAAGTCCATAAAAGTATTTTACTTTTATCTTAGAGTTATTTCATGTTTTATTTATCCATTGCTGAGGATCATTTTAATTTAGTTCCATTTATCTAGATTATATAATAACTAGGCAGGGTATGGAATGGTTGTTTTCAGTTAATTTTGCTAATTTATGTCATGCCTGGAGCATATGTGAATTTTTTTTCTGTGTGCTGTTCCTAGGTTTTGAACTCAGAACCTAGGCTCTAACTTGAGCATTTTTGCTCAAGGCCACTTGAGCCACATGTCCATTTCTGGCTTTTTGATGGTTATTGGATATAAGAATCTCATGGACTTTCCAGCTCTGGCTGGCTTTGAACTACAATCCTCAGATGTCAATCTACTGAGTACCTAGGATTACAGGTGTGAGCTACTGGCATCCAGCTGAATTTTTCTCTCTTAAATATCATTATGTAGTTGTACACAGATGTTTCAGTTTAATTTGCCCATTTATGAGTACAAAGTACCTTTTTTCTTTGTTAATATTATTATTATTATTATACTATTACCTGTAGGTAGTTGTACAAAGAAGTTTCAATTCACCATGACATGTTGTGGGTCATCTTGTTCACTGTTATGCGTTTCATCATTCTTCCCCTACTCATTCCCAACATATAATTTTGCCTGTTATACAAGTAAGAAAAAACAGCAAAGCATCACTAATTGAGGAAAGACTAAGCCAAATGTGGATGGCCTAAGAAAGGACAAGGTGATTATTGACTTCCCACACTAATGGATCTCAATTTTTTTGCTTCACAGGTGCCTTCCAATTGAGCTTGGTGAAGGCAGATGCACCTACTGTGCCTCCTCAGGAGGCCACACTTGTTGTACTGGTGAGCAGTCTGCTAGTGATTTTTACCCTGGCCTTCCTTGGGCTCTTCTACCTCTACTGCAAGCAATTCTTCAACAGGCATTGCCAGCGTGGTAAGGGTTGCTGTTTCACATTTCACATGAATCAGAAGGAAGGCATTTTTAGCAAAAGAGAGGAGTTTCTTAGGGTTGAGAATTCTCACACTAGAAAACCCCAGGGGTGGTCTTTTAATGAGCTTGGGGAACTATCTGGGATGGCAATAGAAATTATGGGACTTCAGAAATGTCCTGTTAAGGAACCTTGTTCATTAGGTTGTAGGGCATCAGAAAGGAGCATGGCATGATGAAAAATCTCTTGGGAAATGAATCTGGTTGGATCTAAATCTACCTCTCAATCACTGAGTAACCCTACACAAGTCATATGGCTTCTTTGAGCCTCTTTCTCCCGAATATTTAAAGTGAAAGACAAGATTAGTTGCTTTTAAAGTTATTTTGCAATTGTGTATATCTGTACTAATAACCGTAGATTCTGGAACATGTTAAAATGGAGGAAGGCTTGGCTATATGAAGTCTAGGGCAACTAATATTGGTGCTACAGTAATAATAATTTCCCAAAATATGGTAACTGAAAGTATAGAAATAGAGGGAAGGAGGCAGGTAGGCAGGCAGGCAGCGAAGAAGTAAGGGAGAGAGAGACAAAAATAGAGAAACTAGAAAGACCATCTCTTTTCTAGAGGGGAATCTGCTACTTAGCTCCAGCTCTTTATTACCATATAAGAATATTCACAACTTGCCCTGTGAGGGTTAGAATGTGTTTGTGACTTTAATTAAGTATCACTATCCCACAATACTGTGAAATTTGTGAAATTTATATAATCACTTAATCACAAAAAATTGCAAAAAATGAGTTTAAAAAAGAAGAGTATTTACCTGGATGTTGGTGGTCTACATCTGTAATCCTAACTACTTAGTAAACTGAGATCTGAAAATAGAGGTTCATAGCAAGCTGAGGCAGAAAAATCTGTATGACTCTTTTCTCCAATTAACCATCAAAAAGCTGGAAGTGGAGCTGTGTTTTGAGACACAATCTTGAGCGAAATAGCTAAAGGACAATGGCCAGACCCTGGGTTCAAGACCCAGTACCAGCATGCATATGCATGTGCACACGTGCACAAGTGCACGCTTATGCGCACACACATGCACAATAAATACATTAATATTCAGGGTTCAAAAAACTTTCAAAATTTCAAGAGAATGCACAAACCTGGATTTTTGTATGAAATACTGACAAGTAACTTGAATGGAACACAAAAACACCACTCCAAATTGGGGAATCATAAACAATAACACATGTAGTAGATTCTCAGTTTGTAACCTGATGTTGAATCGGACTCATTCATGAAGGGTTTATTACATTTCTATTGTCATAACAAATTACCACATATTTAATGCTTTATTAGCATTAAGTGGCTCAAAAGTTCAGCAGGCTTGGCTTGATCTCACAAGGCTTAAATCAAGACATTGGCAGGGGGATGTTCTTTTCTGGAGATTCAAGGGGAGAATCCATTTCCTTGATCATCCAGGCAAATGCCTGAATTGTTTCATGCAATTATAGAACTCATGTTCCTCTATTTCTTTCTTTCTTTCTTTCTCTTCTTTCTTTCTTTCTTTCTTTCTTTCTTTCTTTCTTTCTTTCTTTCTTTCTTTCTTTCT